CTGCCAGCTGGCAGTTGGAATTGGTGATAGGTAACCTGCTTTCTCTACATCTGGAAGCTAGAAGAATCTCAAGAAAGAAGCTGAGGAGTTGAGTGGCTCAGCAATGTGACTTAGATATTCATAGTATTACGATAAATTTATCTGTTATAAAAAAGAACTCTACTATCGCATTTTAAAGTCATCATTAATCATGAAACCTTTATTTGTACCTTGAAAGAAACTTTCAGTTGTTTTATAAGGAATCTGAGAAACCCAAATTTCTCCAGTATTATCATAACTTAGGAATTGCAGGAGAGCCTGGCTTAGCCATTTAGCAGCACTGAAGAATGGAAATTTCCTCCAAACAGTAGCTTCAAACTTGAAGTCGATTAGCCCTGCTCAAATTTTTGGAAAACTTTTTTAATTGAAAAAAGTGAATATTCATTCACAAACTCTGCTTCGGTAATTGCAAGCCCAATGGATTATCACAGCTGCATAAGGAAAGTTTGCTTCTCATTTTGAGTAAGTCTTGGATCTTCATCATTGTGTCTGTGAACTCTGTGTGCGGTCTAAACTAAAAGGCATCTCCCAAGTTTCTTGAATTTTATGGCTGCTTTAGAGAGACTAAATTAAACTACTGCTGTAGAATGCCCTCTGATTTCCCACAGTAATGTCACTGTTTCAAGATTACAATAAAGATACATTCCTATGTTGTTGTTTTTTTTTTTTATTTCTCTGAGGATTGTATAGAAGATCTGCATTCTGCTTTCAATAATTCAAAATGAGCCATAGAGCAAATAGTCGTTTCCTCCATAACTGAAGGCTTTTATTTCTAAGTATTTATATTGTTTCTGTCTCAAATAGAATCTGGAAATACTTGGGCAGGATGCTGAAAACATCTCTTGGCTTCCTTCTTTTCTTTATCTTAAAATTGTGGAAAGTGCCAAGGAAATTGGTGCTGTTTTTCTCTTGGTGGAAAATTAAGTTTTGAAGCTTTTACTACAAATATATTCTTGTTATTTACAAAAACCAAATGATACCAAGCAATATAAAAGAAAATAAACAGAGCTGGTTAGTCTTCCTGTCCCAATTCCCAGTCCCAGTATAGGCAGCCACCGACAAAATATTGTATCGCAAAAATGTATTTATGTTTCATATTAAATATCCAATGACATTGTGTGATTTTTTATGTAATTATATATGATTAACTTTTTAAAGTCAATACTTTTTAAAGTCAATAAAAAATAGTTTAATACAAATTATTTCAATTAACTGTAATAATTTAAGTGACTCGACCCCTATCAATAAACACTTAATCATTTTCCAGTAATGTTTTTAAGTTATGGTGTGTTTGTTTTTCAATAAGATCTTCCTATGTAGTTCAGCTATTTTCTGGCTTGTAACCCCAATATGTAGTTCAGCCTGTCCTGGACTCACTAGTCATCTATTTCAGCCTCCCAAGTGTTGATATTACAGGCATGTGACTACTTGTAGTTGACATTTATTTCCTTCTTTCCTATAAATAAGCCCAGTGATGTCTACCATTTTAACAAATTAGGGTTGAATTTTTGTGGCAGTAACTAAGGAGATAGGACCTCTAAGCTTACTCTTGTTTATTGATAACTAATTCTGATATCTTAAGCCAGCTCCAAAATAGTCACTTGCTTGTATCAATTTTGTGTAAGCATTTATCATAAAATAGTCTTAATCTATTTCATCACACATTTCATGGATATTTCCTTCTATAGTCTCTTCTAAAATGAAAACAAACAAAGCCCAGGTGAATGGTTCTGTGGAAGATCCAAGCTATGTAGATTACCAGATAAAATGCAGTCCCTATCCATTTTACTACACGGCTTTTCAAGGTGTGACAGTGACGGTAATAAATGTTTTAAGTGTAAACACTACACTGAAGCTGCTCCTTTGCCATTAACTGGCTATGTGACTGAAGAAAATCAATTAATATTTTGAAATCTCAGTTTTGCTTTTAAAATATGAGTCATAATGCAGCCACTCCTGATGTGATCTGATAGACTAAGATCAGAAGGAAAGAGAGGAGGACCTCCCCTATCAGTGGACTTGGGGAGGGGCAGGCATGAAGAAAGGGGAGGGTAGGACCAGGAGGGGAGGAGGGAGTGGCTTATTGGGGGGATACAAAGTGAATAAAGTGTAATTAATAAAATTAAATTTAATTTAAAAATATGAGTTATTATAAAAACCAGTTTTGTATGGATATAGGGCAAGCAATGAATTTCAGAAGATCTACAAGATAATCTTTAGCACAAAGTTTAGTGTGTCATGAATGCTTATTAGCTGTCTGTCATCATCATAACCAGTGCTCATTAATTTAAAATTAAATTTTATTCTGATTGCATAGTAGTCAACTCTCTACCATCTACAAAATGAAATGTTCATAATGCCTCTATCTGAGCATCAAGTACAGGTATATACACTCTCTTTGGTTTTTCTTTCCCTGAACATACAAGAACACATTATCTCATATGCATCTCTCTTTTATTTGGGGGTATCACCATTTTTTTTCCTTTTTAAAAATTTTTATTGTTTCTTTGTGATTTTCACACCATGCACCTCAATCCCATTCATCTTGCCCTTCCCTCATACCCACTCTCCACCATTACAACCTCACCCACAAAAGAAAAAAAAATAAAACATATCTCATTGTAGAAGCTATAGTGTGTCCCACAGTACACCCATTTGTTAACATGTCTTTGCTTGCAATGTTCATAGCAAAGACTCATTGGTCTGCTATGAGGCCTGTGGCTTCTGCTACTTCATCAATACTGTAACTGCATCTGGACTCTTGTGGCTATAAACATGTTTTTTGTTTTGGTCCCAGGTGTGGTATGTGGGACTGATTTAGATGGTCCATAGCAGCAGACTGTTTGCTTCATGCAGGCTCTGAGAGGAGCTCTTTGCCAGCTGTAGACAGTTTAAATCTGAGGACTCTGGAGAGAGACTAAATGCCAGAGCTCAGAGAGTGTGGAGCTCAGAGAAAGAACAAGGCTGTTACTGCTTCGCCCTTGCTGCTCCTGCTTGCTGTTGTGATATAAGAAGTTGGAGATCTCCTGAAAGGAGGACTGAACAGGCTCCAAAGAACCCGACGACCCTAACCAGCAGGAGGCAGCTAAGAGAACTGCGTCCCCTCTCCCACTAACCTTTTCTCTCTCTTACCAAGGGTTGAGGTGTTAGAAGGGATTGGGGTGGAGTAGGGAGAAAAGGATGTAAGAACCATAAATAAAACAGTTTTTTTTTTTTAAGTACATCAACAGACTCTTCTCGAATATCCTCTTCTTGCCCTGTGTCATGGAGATCCTGTAGTTTTTTATCTACAGGACCAGCCCCTTCACTCACTCTAGCAATTCATCAATGGGGTAGATGTTGCGATAGGGCAAGTCGAAGCTCTAGATCTGGGCGTGAGAGGTATCTGAGCTGGTCATCCCACCAGCTCTCCAGCATCCACACCACTGGGGCAAGCTCTCCTGAACTGTCCTGGCTGGCCCTTTCAATGCCTCAGCCAGCAAGGGGCAGAGCCAGCTCTTCAGCTCTCATACCCTCGGGACTGGCTTATCTTTACCCATGCTATCAGGGCTAGCTCTACTGTGCAGCCCAGGTGAGGTACGGGGCCTGCTCTCCTGAGCATTGCAGTTTGTAAGGGGTTGGGCTGGCTCTCTTGCTCTCACATACTTCAGCTGGGTCATCTGAAACCTCTGCAACCAGGGTCAACTCTACTGTGCTGCTCAGGCAAGGAGCAGAGCCTGCTCTCCCGAGTGCCGCAGCAGATGAGGAGCAGGGACTGCTCTCCTGCTCTCATGACATTGGCAAGGCCAGACCTCCCACCTGCCACATTGGACAAGGGCAAAAGGGAGAGGAGGGGATTTCTTCCTCATTGACACCACCATACTACAGACAAGAGGCAGGGCTTATTCTCTCAGGCTCACACCCTCAAGGGTGGCTCACCGGCAACCCCTGTGCTTCCCAGGCATGGCACAGGGCCTGCTCTCCTGAGTGCTGCAGTAAGTGAGGGGCAGGGGCACTTCTTCTGCTCTGATGGCCTTAGGGCCTGCTCTCCTGCCTGCTGTAGATGGCAAGGGGTAAGGGGGAAAAGGGGGTTGTGCATATTTCTCTCATCCATGCCACCACACAGGAGACAAGTGGCAGAGCCATCTCTCCCATGCTCAAACCCTCCGGGCCAGCTCATCTGCATATCCTGGAACTAGGGCCAGCTCTACTGTACTTCCTGGGCAATGTGCACTCTTGAACGTAATGCAGCTGGCTAGGGGTGGGATCAGCTCTCCTGCTCTCATGCCCCCAGAGCCAGCTCGACCAAGATGCTGAGTTGAGGGGTGGGGCCAATTCTGCACAGACCTCAGACATCACCAAGTCCCCAGGACCATCTGCCTGACTTTTGGTGGTAACAGACCCCTGCTACTGTAGAGCCATGAACCCAGATTTAGACCCTGGTGTGAACACGTGCCAGGATCCCACCATGGTCCCGGGTAGCAACACTGGATACTCATATCATGTTCTTTATTACCCTCAAGCCTCCAATTCTGACCACGCCCTTCCGTTTCTCTTTCTCATCCATTTCTCCACCACTTTCTTGCTCCTCTCAGTGGTGCCCAAGGTCTCTGAGTATCTGAGGTCATCTCAGGCATGGTCTTAGGATTTCTATTCCCCACATGTGCACTGTGCCACTGGGTAAGGATCACCTTGGGCATGATCTGGCCCAGGCTTGTGCAGCCATGGAATGGTGGTAATTTCAGGCTAGCTCCCTATCCACACCCCATGGTCCACTCGGTCCACTCTTTGCTCAGCCCACTCCCACCTAGGGCCTGAGTTCCCAAGCAGGGAACTTTTGGTCTCCAGCATACTCCCCACCCTGGGAGCCCTTCCAGGCCTGCGTGGAGCCGGACTGATGGTTGCCTCAGTGTCGCTCCCTGTCCAGACCCTTGATGCTGGGCTGATAGTAATTTAATCTTGCTTTTTTTTTTTTTTCAGGGAGTATTAGGCTACTAATCATTTAGATGTTCACAAGTCAGAACACTGAACTTAGACATAGCCTCTCCCTCTCTCCTCTATGCCACCTACTGAGTCATGTGTGACACAGCAGCCACACCTGCAATGCCTCTCTGGGCCTTGGGTTTCATCATCTTAACCACAAAGCAAACTCATTCTTGGTGTTCCGGGCTCTTCTCGAGTATTTATTCATTTTACTACTATTTTGGACAAGAGGGATGTACATTTAGAAGGAGACACCTGTTAATTAGTGAGTGCAGTGGAGAATAGGGGTCCATAACAGAAGTCTGCTCATAGAACACTGGGTTCAAGAGCTGAAGTACTCTTGGGCTGTAGTGGGGGTGGGGGGCAAAGGAAGAGGAACCTAAAAACAGTGTTTATTAAAAAAAAAAGACGTTACAGGGAAGTCTTTTATTATCCATTACCATTTAAGTGTTACAATTCTTATAAAAATTACCTAAGAAAAGACTTTTGAAATCAAGGACAAGGAACAAAATATATTTCAGACAGAGAATCCTAAGTGAATGGAATTACAAAGGCTCAAACATCAACTGTGTGATGAAATCTGACTCAGTAGTTTAAGGGACTGCTCAGTGGGTGAGGTAGGAACCACTCAGACTTTAAGTGTCATACTTAAGTCATAGAACTATAGAAGGAATAGTGGGAAGAAATTGACATTTTGTATGAAGAAACTGTCAGATGCTTAGGATTCAATTATTCCTTCTCTAGCCCTTTTCCAATTTGGCAGCAGTCAGCTGAATGTATATACCCAAGTAAGAACCTAAATATAAGAGTTACCAAGAGAGACTCTAAAACTAATGAAGGCTTTATTCCCCTTACTCCTAACTCAACATATAGAAAGCACACAGAGCTTCCTGCTTAAGTTTACTCCCAGAAAGTCTGATTATTGACCCCAGTTGTCTTTAGAACAAAGGCTACATGAGAATAGTAGACTGTTTCTTTCTTCCTGGATCTCAGGTTCCAAGTCTTGGACCTTTGATACTCACTGCATGGAAGGCAGTGACAAGAAGCTGTATAGAACTCTCAGCCTTACACATGAATAGAAGATCAGGTGCAGCCCATTCCACCTGTGTTTGAAAGAAGAAAGTTCCATCTATTTGCAAACATAGAGAAATGAATGTCAATCACTCACTATATTGTGAGAAAAGATAACTATCCCCTCTCAAAGAAAAGAATCAGCAACTGGGGAAAGGAATGGAATATGTCTGTAGAAATTCTGATGGGACCATGCTCTCTACAGATATTCTGTTCTCTATAAACTTGAAGAAGGAACAGGGAAAGAAAGGTTGATGATCCTTTTGCAGGGTGGGTCTCCTTACTTGAAGACATTTTTGTTGAATGCAAAGGTTCCCCCATTTTCTCATTCTCCACACATAGGACAAATCTGTAAGGAACTCATCACACATGCTCTACATCTTTTTTTCTTATAAATTTCTTGTCTTAGACCACGGCTATCAGTCTAGTCTATGATGGAAGTATGAACTCAATTTTTTTTCAATGTAATGATAAACTTAATTTTCTTGCTCTATCTGCATCAAAGAACCCATTGTCTAAAAACACATCCCATGCCGTTGTGTGTGTGTAGGCGGTCTTTGTATTTATGAATTTATGGTGATTGCGGTTGAAAGCTCTCCCCATATTATCACTTTGCATACCACTTTAGGAAGGTCATTAAAAATGTAGAACTATATTATTACAATGAAATTGATCACAAGAAAATTAGACTATATGCATTAGCAGAAAAAAGTAAGCCTTTTCCCCACTTCAACTCTCACATTTTAGTTATTATGCTTGGCTCAAGAATGGCTGAAGTAACACTTTTTAAATGGAGATTAAAACAGAAGAAAAAAAAAACATGCTGCGAAATTCAATAGGCCCCATTATCCATTACAATTCAATTTTGTGGGTATTTTGTGAACATCTGCTACTACCATAGTGTTATTTAAAGCCCACTCATGCCTCAGTCCATTTCAGAATAATTTGTAAAAAAAAAAAAAAAAAAAGTAATAATAAAGCTCATCTATACAGCTGGAGAAATGGCTCAGCCATTAAGAGTACTTGTTGCTTACTCAGAGGACCTGAGATAAGTTCTCAGCACCTATATCAAAATGGTCACAACTGCCTGGAACTTCAGTTCCGGCGAAGGTGAGGCCCTCTTCTCATCTCTATGACCACCTGTATGCATGTGGTGCATAGCACACAAGCAGGAACACAGGTAAAATTAAAACAATTTATCCCAAGTTAAGGTCTTCTGTTTTAACAAATTTTAAAAGCCAGAGGACTGGGTTTGAATGCACATTGCAAGGCGTACAGTATGAGCCACACGGCAAGAGGTGTCAAAGATCTGCAAGAAATTGAAAAAATATTTCAAACCACTTGTAATTTCTATTTAAAACAACAAAACTCTTATTCTCAGGCATTAATTTTGACATCGTGAGTTGGTACTGCCATGTACAAAGTTCATGTTTGAGAACTGAATAATCAACTTATCAAACAACATTGCAAGATAAAACTCTTATAATGACTGTTTATCCAACCCAGGACCATGTATGGATATAACCAGGAACCCCTGCTCAGATGTAGCCATGGTAGCTCAGTATCCAACTGGGTTCCCTAGTAAGGGTAACAAGGACTATTTCTGACACAAACTCAATGGCTGGCTCTTTGACCACCCCCCTGAGAGAGGAGCAGCCTTGCTAGGCCACAGAGAAGGACACAGCAGCCAGTCCTGAAGATACCTGGTAAGCTAGGGTCAGATGGAAGGAGAGGAAGACCTCCCCTATCAGTGGACTTAGAAAGGGGCAGGGAAGAGATGAAGGAGGAAGGGTGAGATTGGGAGGGAATGAAGGAGAGGGCTACAGCTGGGATACAAAGTAAATAACCTGTGATTAATATAAAAAAATAAAAAATTGTATAAAAAAACTACTGAACTAATGAATATTATGAATCCATTAATAAAATATATTTTAAGAAAAAAAACCCTCATAATGTTTTAAGACAATTTATTATTTTATGTTGAGTCATGTTAACAGTGCTCCCATCCATATGTGGCGCAGGACATGCCTACAAATGCAAATAAACATTACTGTCTTGATTCAATCATGGCAACTGAAGTAAATTTCAAAAGGTACACTCTGCTCATATTATAGTGCACACGATCATTTTTTATTCTAAAAAGATAAGCAAATGCTGTATAATCGCATGAGTGTAGGAGAGGAATCTGAACTACAAGCCCAGAGTCTTCAATCAGAAGAGCAAGGAGCATAACCGAGCCTAGAAGTCCGTCTTGGGACTTAATCTATGACAGGAAGAAGCAGTGAGCAAGGACACTAAGAATAATTAATGGGCTGGTGGAGAGCTGGACTCTGACCCAGGAGACCATTTTGGCTGAACATCCAGCTACCCAGTGACCCAAATGCATAAGCCCAAAAAGCAGCAAAGAGAAAAGAGGGTCTGGAAGTTAAGGGACAAACAGAGGGAAGGCAACAAACAGCCCCACAAAGGAGGGTGGGCCAAGCAGCCCGGAGGGGAGTGACACTACACAGGCATCTGATGCTTTGCATCACAGCTGGTCTGGAAAGTGAAATCTTCTCACAAAAACTTTGTACATGCGCTGCAGAAAGCAACCATCTAGCCCTCTATGTACGACTAGCTTGAGGTGGGTGTGGCATGACATTAGAAACCTTTTTTTATTGTTATTTATCAATGACCTTTTATAAGTTCAACTACTACAGTGCTCAAAATCTAGACTGGAACTCTTTGCAGTTTTAAATTCAACAAGTAACCAGGTGATCAGATTAGTTAATAGCCTGTCATTACTTACCACAAGGAACATGATTTGGGGGTATGTATATGAAAGAATTTTACTTAATTCTGAGTGCCTTAGAAGCCACAACACAAGCAGAGTATACATGAGCCTGTTAAAGAAAAGAAGGAAGTAGCTGCAGTTCATGGGTAAGATGAACAGGTTACAAGACTTACAGACTTTTAAGGCTGTCCTTAAAGGAGTAGGACTTTCCCAAGTTCTAAGAGTTATTACCGGCCCTACCACAGCTCAGTGAGGGAAAAAGGTGCTACAAGTATAGTGACACCACTGTGACCCTAGTCTGTATAGCCCAGGACAGTGACAGGGACCATGTTGGGGAGAGCATTGCTGCCAACCTTGTGTACCCGTTACATACCAGTTGTTATTCTGCTGTGTTGAAAAGTAATGTATCCCATTTATCAAACAAACTGACCTGAAATCAATGTGCACTTTGTGTATTACATTCTATATCATGTTATTAATTCCAAAAATTCACAAAAGGAAATATCAGCGTTAGATTCTCTGCCCTTAGTTCAACATGATGATGATGATGATAATGATGATGTTTGTTTAAAAAAAAAATCATATGGTTCTCCATCTGTGGGTCATGGTTCCTTTGGGGGGAGTCAAATGACACAGGGTGACCTAACAGCACTGGAAAACACAGATATTTTCATTATGATACAAAACAGAAGCAAAATCACAGTTATGAAATAGAAAAATACTTTTATAGTTGAAGGGAGCACCAAAACATGAGTAACTGTATTAAAACATCACAGCATTAGGACAGTTGAGAGTCACTGATCTAGTTTACGCTATATAGGATCTCAAATAAGTTTCATAAAAACAAAACTAACTCGACTAATCAAACAGGTCAAAGTGGTTGAATCTATGTTTTTTTTAAAATATAAAAAATATAAAATATATAAAGTATGAAGTAATAAAGTCTTCATACTAAAAATTTTAAAAAAAAAGAACACCTGCTGAAAGAAGACTCATACTTATATAAGAGACATTTTTTATCACTAGTTATATAACTTTGTTTGGAGGTGTTTTTTTTTTTTAGGTTTTTTTAAATTTTATTTTTTTCTTACCAGTTACATTTTATTAACTCTGTATCCCAGCCATGTCCCGATCCCTCATTCCCTCCCAGTCCCTCCCTCCTTCCCTCATCTCCACCGTGCCCCTTGCCAAGTCCACTAATAGGGGGGACCTCCTCCCCATTCATATGATACTGTTTTATCAGGTATCTTCAGGACTGGCTGCAAAGCTCTCCTCTGTGGCCTAACAGGACTG